TAATACCCACCAAAGCAGGTTGATAGCAACATACTCAACACACGACTTCCTATTGTGAAACCCATCCAGTTCCCACATATATTCTTCAGAAACAGGCTAACAAAACATCTTTCTGCATTAATTGCTGGGCAAAAAGGAGATTGATTTGCTTACTCCCAGGAACTATAAACCTTTGTCATTCACTCCTTAAAATATTTCTTCATGACTATCCTCTTTAGGCCTAAGCTATGGTCTATTTTGGATTATCTGACTCAGAGTTAAGTAGAGTTTATATGTTGTGATTTCCTTTCTCTCTCTCTCTCTCCTGATATCTAAGTCTATTTGGTAAAGACTTATGAAAATAATGAACTATGCCAGGTAATGACTAACTGCTATATAAATGTGAATTGAATGTGAGCTACTATATAGCTGATAGAACTGAATCAAATACTTCTTGTTTGCCTGCTTTAAATCATGACTAGCTGTCAATTGAGATTTGCTCATCAAATTAATTCTTGGATATACTGGAGGAGAGTCACAGAGACCCCCTACTGTATAAATTCTCAGAAATTTTTTTTAAAATTAGCCCAGCAGAAATTTTTGAACAGGACTATGAACATTTTCTCATGATATCACTATTTTCCTACTCTCACTTTATTGTTACTTTAGTTAAATAAGATGAGGTCCTTTAAACCCATGGGTAAAGGGATAGTGGCAGTGGAACAGGGAAACTGATGTAAAATAAAATACAAAAAGAAATGTTTCATCATGCTCTTCTTATTTTGATTATACAGATTGAGAAACATGAGTTTCCATCTGACCTTGCCCTTTTTCCAAGAGAAAACATATAGCAATATGACATTATGGTACAAACATGGAAAGTTTGGTAAATATAGGTAAATATATATTGATAGAAGTTATTCTTAATTAATACTCTTTAAAAAGAAGTTGAAAGTAAAACTCAAATCCAGTACTATTTATTGCTTCCACCCAGCTACTCTACTGAATGAGCTCTTTTAAGATCATCAGTGACTTACTTTTTGCTAAGTCTAATAGCTGTTTTCTCAATTTTCATTTTCTGTGAATCTGTGATGTTTGGCAGTGTGGACCACACTTACTTGGCATGCTCCTTTTTGGACTTCGTTCCACTACATGATATTGATTCTTTCTCTGTCTCTTACAGCAAACCTTCTTTGACTTCCTTACTGATTCTTCTTCTTCTAATGATCTAATTCTTAGTCTATGAACCTCTCCTTCCATCCTTCCTTGCTTCCTTCCTTCCTTCTTCTCCTCCTTTGCTTCCCTTACTTTGTCTCTCTGTTTTTTGTGTAAGCTTTAATCAGAAGGGTAGTAATAAGCCAAAAGCAAGGTTATGACAACAAACCCCACATATGAATTCCCAACGTGAAACCCATCCAGTTCATACATCCATGCCACAGAGGAGACATAAAACATCTTTCTACTTTATTTACCTAGAAAAACTTCAGTTCCAATGGATTAATCTGCCACTTTTATGACAATGAGTTCCAAATCTATACATCTTATTTAAGAGCTCCTTCCAACTTCCTTTAAGTTGGGAATCTAAACGGGGCATTTGGATGCCCCATTGCCAATTCAAGCTCAACAGACCTAGAACAACTAATCTCCCTTCTACAGTGAATTCTCCCTCTCAACTTCTCTCTTAAATAGTCTCTTAATGAGACTATTTTTTCAGTTACACCAGTTGAAAAATTTGATGTCATTATTGACTCATCCTCTACATCCTGCTTCTTAATGAGTCCTGACAATGCTTTCCCTGAATATCTCTTTTATCTCCTCTTTCTTCTTTATTGTAACTGCTGCCTTTTTAATCCAGTCCCTCATCCACTCAAATTTAGGATATAATTAAAAGTTGTGGAATCATGAATAGCATAGATAAGGTGAATATGAACTCATTCACCAAAGTCTGAAATATAAGCAGACCTCTTTCAGATTTGAATTAATAAGTTAAGACAAATAAAAGGCAGTGCTCTTTATGCAGTGGGTCATACACTTAAGGAATTCATTACCTCTATAGATGATATTAGCAGGAAATGTAAATGAAATCAGAAAGGATTTAGTCAAGTTTATGTTTAACAGAACCATATTTTTTACCCTTAAATTGGACATGCCTTGGAACTGGTGATGACAAGAAAATAGTAGGCTATAATGGGTCTGACCCAAAATAACCTAAGATGACATTGTTATACTCATATAATGATTGCAAAAACTTCCATGCTGAATAGGTCCCTAAACATTATTATTATTTAATCTTAACTGGGTTATCACTTCTGGCTATGAATTCTTTGATTTGTCCTTGTCCTTAACATGCCCAAAGAGGCTATCATAATTCTTTTCTTTCTGTAAGCTGCTAACTTTACCCATTTCTCTCCCCTTTATTCTTTGCAGCAGATTTTCTACTTTTTAATCACTTTTTCATATCAAATTCTACTTATTGCCTTTATCAATGTACTCCCTCAGTTTTTGCACTCCAAAATCTATCTGTCCTCACCTATCCATTGATCCTGCCTACTGGTTTGAGAGTGAGGTGATCCTCCATTTAGTTAAAGCAAAGTCATTCACCTTTGCCCTCAATTAAATACAATCCCATATATTTCTTGTTTGAACTTACTCCATCAGCCCCATCTATTTGTTGCTTCCTTTCACGCTACAAACATATTTAGGTATCCCTTTAGAGACCAAAGCAAAACAAAACTTCCCTTGATCCTGTTATATCTTCAAATTATTCTCTTATTACTTTCTTTTCTTCTACTGCTAAATTGGTATCTACACAATGGTCTGCACTTTTCCTTTACATTCCTTTTAATTTGACTTCAGTCAGGATTGCTATTGTAACTACATGGTGATCAGTGATATCATTTTCTTCATACCTAATTGCTTTTCCCTATTCTCATTTTCCTTGCCAACTACCTTTCCTCTCTCCATACATTTATTCATTCATTCATTCAACAATCATCCTTCACATTATGCTATCCTATCCTGGTTTTCATGACACTGAACATTCATAGCTATCACTTTCCCTCTTGGATATGTCCTCTTTTATGCCAATCACTGGCTTATCTTTGTCCCTATGAATTTGTGTGTGTGTGTGTGTGTGTGTGTGTGTGTGTGAGCATGTCTTTGTGTGTGTGTCTGTGTGTCACATGGCTCTATTTTCATGCTCTTTATTGGTGAGATCTTACATTCTTGCACATAATAGATACTTAATAAAGGTAATTTAATTTTATACAGATAAACTTTTATACTTAGTTCTGGTTCTGACTGTTAGTCAGAATTTTAGTTTTAAATTTCCCATGCTCAGTTGAATACTTTCTATTGGTACTTCAAAATTAACATGTACAAAGCTGAATGGACCATTTTTGCCTCCCAAATTCCCAATACACCTAACCTCTTTCTGTAAATGGCACCATCGCTATATATCATCATCCTCATAGTCACTGAGGCTTGAAATTTTAAAAGCTTTGACTCTTCTCTTTCCTTACCCTTTCCTTGATAAGTCACGTACTAATTATTTCTGTATTATATTTCTCAACTCTTCCTTTCCATTCCACTACTGCCACCCTCATCAGGTCCAAATTAGTTTTCTCTTGGACTGGAGTAATATTCTCCTTGTGTTTCTGCCTGCAGTCTTCCCTTGTAATGTTCACACATATTTCCAAATAATTTTCTCAGTTTACTCTGACTCTTATTATTCTTCATGGGGGAAAAATAAACCCTTTAGTGTCTCCCCATTGTTTATTGCTTATCTTGGCATTTAAAGTCTCCCATTAACTATATCTAACATATCTATATCCTTACTTCCCTTTACACAGTGTTCCAGTCAAAGTGGGTCTTTTATTGCTCTCCAGTCTTAAGCTGACATTTCGTACATTTGTACAGGCTATATTCCATAGTTAAAGGCATCAAATGGACTTCTGTGCACTGTCTGCCAAAATCTCTTTCTTTCAGTCCCAATGAGTTGTTGACTTACCAAGCTCCCCAGAACGTTTTTCTTCCTGAACTTTGTTCTGGGTTTCTTGCTTGCTCTTATATCCTAATTCTTCAAATTATAGTAGTTTGTTTTATTTCTTCTACCATATTGTAAGTTCCTTGAGGGAAGGGATCTTTGTGTCTTTGGCACTCATCATATCATCTCCCATTTAGTAGGGCCTAATTAAAGTTAAATGAATTAAATTTTTGAATTGACCTTTTTTATGAATTCCTATTGAAGATAAAATGTGCAACATGACATCTATCACTTAATAGGCTGTTCCATATATTTTTTGTTTCATTTTATGTTTGTTTGGTCTCCCAAACTACACTTTAAGGTCTTTAAGATCAGGTACCATACCACATACTTATTTTTTTTTTACTCCACTCCCCACCCTCTGGGATCTAGCATGGTGTGAGAACAGTTCAGAGAATATTGAGTGTTGATTATGTGATTAACACATTGTCAGGGGCTGTGAGGGATGCAGAAGGATTTTGTGATAATTTTTGCCCTAAAGGAGCTTATAGTCTTCCTGACGAGATACACGAAACAAAGCACATTTACTGGATTCTGAAGGCCATGTTTACACAATTTAATTTTCTTTTGATCGTATTTGTTTCCAAGGAATTGTGTCCTGAGGAATTTGTTTACTCTAGGAACAAAATAGTCATTACAAATATGGATGCTAGAAAATATGAAGCAACGTTAAAGGAAGAAATAGCTAATTGTATTTAAAATGGTGATGAAAATAAGGTAAATACATTTTAAAAATGTTACTTTTGATAAAGTTTACATGGACAGAACTAGAAGATCAATTTTATGATTATTTTTATATTTTTACTTAAAATTTTTTTTGCCTTTCATATTACATCTATTATCAAATCTTACCAGGCCTATAATGTTTCTTAGGTTCCTTTCTTATCATTTCCATATCTACTGTCTTTTTATAGGCCCTGATCTTCTAACGCCTGGATAACTACACCAACCTCCTTGTTCATCTCTCTGTTTTTAGTGTTTCCTCAGTTCACACCAACCTGCATGTGGCTGCCAGAAGAGTCTTGCCACTTTCTGGTTTAGAAAACATCTTTTGGAAATTTTATTTAAAAGTAAGTTGTATTGATGCCTTTCACTTTTACATCACAGTCTTTTAACTAGCCTCCTCTCTCCTTATGTATCCAACATCAGGTTTTATTATACACTGTCATGCCCTTGAGTGGCAGTATAGTCTAAACCAGATGGAACCAGTGTGGAACTTGGAGACAAGAAATTGTGGTTGAAATCTTGCCCTGGACACTTAGTGGCTATAGCATCATATTAACTTTTTCTTATTGTTGTTCAATCATTTCAGTCATGTCTTACTCTTCATGACCCCATTTGGGGTTTTCTTGGCAAAGATACTAGAGTGGTTTGCCATTTCCTTCTCTGGCTGAGAAAACTGAGGCAAATAGGATTAAGTGACTTGCCTAGGGTCACAGAACTGAGGCACAGAGTGTCTCAGGCCAGATTTGAACTCAGGAATCTTCCTGAACCTAGGCCCGGCACCCTTTCCATTGTGCCATCTAGCTGCCCCATGTTAACTTTCAACTCTATTTAACTTTTCACCTTCAATATCCCCCTTTATAAAATGAGGATGATACTATTTGCTTATGCAGCTGGGTGGTGCAGTGGATAGAGCTTCAGCCCTGGAGTTAGGAATATCTGAGTTCAAATCTGGCTTCAGATATTTACTACCTATGTGATCCGGGCAAGTCATTTAACCCTGTTTGCCTCAGTTCCTCAGCTGTAAAGTGACCTGGAGGAGGAAATGGCAAACCACTCCAGTATCTCTGCCAAGAAAACCCCCAAAATGGGGTCCTGGAGGGTTGGACGTGATGAAAAAGACACAACAAACAGTACTTGTTTGATGTACTTTACAGAGTTGTTATGAGGGAATTGCTTTATAACTTTTCAACTACATAGCCCTAGATAGTTGGTTTATAAACTGCATGTGCCATATAGATATAAGTTATAATTTTTTTTATCTAGTCAGTTTTATCCCTTTCTGATCTGCCATCATATTGGTCATATGTGTATTTGGCTTTCTTCTAGAAAGCCATATTACCTCTTCTCTAGGAATTCTCAGAATTAAAATTTCTGAGAATCATTCTTATAAAACCTTAATTTTACACTCACTTCTCCAAATAGTTTTCCTGAAATCTCTCCATCCCCATAAATCATGCCCTTGATTTATTTTCCAATGGATTCATGTAGAATTTGTATTTCAGTGTCTATACCTTGTTTCTTAACATTAGAGCCCTAATTAAATTGTAAGCTAATTTTTAGGGGGAAATACAATGTAGTAAGTTTTTTTAAAAAAAATAATCCCCCCTAATCCTGGCTATAGTAGCAGAGTTGCATAGTGGAGAGAGAGCTGACCTTGAAATCAGGACGACTTGAGTTTGAGATCCTAAGACATGCCCCTCAATCTCCTAGGTAACTCTCTAGGACTATAGGTTGTAGAGAAGATACAGAGATCTTTTTTCTCATTTATGAGTTCCCTATAATAAAGAAACTTTTAGTCAAGTCCTTATCCCAACCCCTATGGCACTTTATATTCTGTTTTATACTATAGTTAGTTGCTTGTGTTTTACCTCCTCTATTATGTGGCAAGCTTTTTGATGGCCTGCAGAGGCTGTTTTCCTCTTTTTAATCCCTGAGTAATGCTATACATTGAGTCAGAGCTTAATTAATGCTTTGAATGAATAAATGATCACTACACATTTCTGCTTTTCCTCAGCCATAGGAATCTTTCCACAAAATGTTACATAGTTTGACATGATCTTTGTTGCATCAATGCATTTAAAATGTATCATTTACTTCATCCAAGATAATTAATGTCAAATTATAGATTTACCATCATAATGAAAACATTATCTGGGAAAGTATTACATTATGCTCTTTCTTTTCTAGATGTCTGGATGTGCAGGCAGACGAGATTAAGACTTTCTAGGAAATGTGTTTTCCTACGATATTCTATTACTGAAAACAGGCAAGCTTATTAATTTCAATGTACCAGAACTGAAAGGCCAGTTCACCTTTGGTATGAGCCTGGTCCCATGGTTCATGTTGTTGGCTTCCAAAGCAGACAACATCCTGGATGCTAAAGCAAAAGTACTATGGTTGATGTTAATTAATGTTCCCTTCCTTATTATTGACTTGACTGTTATTTTGATTGGTTATCCTCTCAACTCAATCCAGTAGTAACTTTTCAGTTCTATAGCTCCTAACTAGAGTTCAATATCTTGAATGACATCAATCTTTTGGAAATTTTATTTTAAAATGAGTTGTATTGATGCTTTTCATTTTTACTGAATATCCTCCCTTTTCCTGATATCCTCCCTTCTCATACCATCTTCCCACCCCAAATTGACCTCTCTCTTGTAAAAACAAGATAAAGCAAAAAAGACTGACAAAGTCACCCTGTCAGATAATGGATTCTGCTTTAGTTGTTCCCTGCTCTTCTGCCAAGATGAGGAAGATATAATTCATTATCTGATTTCTAGGACCGTTATTGTTCCTTCCTTCTCTTACTTAGAATCCAGCTTCCTTTTAATGATCTTTCCATTTGCTCCATTGAATTCACCGTGTGTACTGTCCTCTTGGCTCTGTTTATTTCACTCTGTAATCAGTTCATGTGCTGGTGACTTGGGTGATGAAGTCTTTTGACTTCAGCAACCCATGAAACACAGAATATAGAAAATGACCTTCAGTTCCTTGCAACCCTTTTCTGTTTTGGTTATAATGGTGGTAGAATGGCAGAAAAGGGGTGGAGGGTGCTAAAAGTCATGTAGTTTTTTGAACATTTATAAACTGTATCTTGGCTGTGAGATCCTTGTCCTGTGACTTTTGGGTCAACATCTTCCTGAAAAAACAGTATCATTTAAATTTTGACATTTTCATTCTGAAGGAAACCAAAAACATGAAGGAAATTTCAACTCAATTGAAGGGCAGAGCATAGATTTCTCTCAGAGTCAAATAAAGGAATTGACAGAGTTAGTTTTATCTAATGTCCAAAAGCAACAAGTAACATCTTTATATGGGACATTGGGTTATCTTGTATTGAAGGCCTCAGGATAAGCAATTGCAAAGACAACTGTGAAAAAAATTGAAGTTCATGCAACAATTATTTCAGAAGATGAAGAGGGAGAAATTCTATGAAGAACTGAATAAGACCCTCCAAATGAAATCATCAGACACTTTGATACTTAGTGACTTCAGTGCAAAGAAAATAGGTGAAGATGGTGAGAAATATATTGGAATATATGGGAATGAGTGAGGACAAATACTTGAAGATTACATGAAAGTATCACACTTCTACATCATGTATTAAAAATAATTAAACTGAATAATATCTTACACAAAACATTGAAATCTATAGCCTGGCTTCCAACCTCATCATTTATTAGAAAATGCTCTCTCCAAAGTTATTAATGATATCTTAGTTACCAAATGACATTTGCTCAGTCCTCGGCTTCTTGAGCTCTCAGCAGTCCAACATTGTTGATCATCCTGTTCTCCTTAATACTCTTTTTCCTCTTGTTTTTCTTTTCTTTTCTTTTCTTTTTTTTTTTTAACTCTGGGTCTCTCATGGTTCTCCTTCTACCTGTCTGGTTACTTCTCAGAATTCTTTGCTGGATCTTCAGGTCAGGCCCACTAACCATAGATTTCCTTTAAGACTTTGTCCTGGGCTCTCTTTTCTTTGCTCGATTTCACTTGGTAATCTCATTATTTTCCACGGATTAAATTATCATTTCTATACAGACTATCCTCATGTCTATCCAGTCCTAATCTCTCTGCTGACCTTGAGTCTCATGTTTCCAATTGCTCGTTGGATATATTGAACTGGATATCCTGTAGACTTCTTAAGCTCAACATGTCAAAAGCTGAACTAATTATCATTCCTTTAATCCCTGTCCTCTTCTTTACTTTCTGTTACTATTGGGGGCATCACCATCTCTCAGTCACCCAGACCTACAATTTAGGTGCCATCCTATACTGTTCATACTCTCCCACAATTCATATAGGATCTTTTTTTTTTTTTAAGGCAATTGGGGTTAAGTGATTTGCCCAGGGTCACACAGCTAGTAAGTGTCAAGTGTTTGGTCTGAGGCCGGATTTGAACTCAGGTCCTCCTGACTTCAGGGCTGGTGCTCTACCCACTGTGCCACCTAACTGCCCCATAGAATCTTTTGCAAAATCCTGTTGATTCTACCTTTGTAGTATCTCTTTTTTTACATCCCCTATTATCATATGACAGTGGCTCCACCCTGGTACAGGCTTGTAACCCCTCCCACCTGTACTATTGTAATAGCCTTCTGGTTGATCTCCCTGTCTTAGGGACTTTAGTTCATCCTTCACTAAGCTATGAAAGTGATCTTCCTGAAGCTCAGGTCTGACCATGTCCCACACCCTACCCCTATTCAATAAACTCCAGTGGCTCTCTATTGTCTTGGATCAAATATAAGCTTCTCTGTTTGGCTTGTACCCTAAAATCTAATGACGTAGCCTATATCCTGTTTCTCAAACAAGATCCTCCATCTCCTGAATGTGCATTTTCTTTTCTTTTTTCTTTTTAAATTGCTTATACCCTTTGACCCAGGAATTCCACTGTGTCTGTTTTCAAACATGATTAGGGAAAAGGAACTTTGTATTTTCACTGGCTGTCCCCCATACCTGGAATTCTCTCCTCCATTTCTACTTCCTGGCTTCACTGGCTTTGCCCATGTCTCAACTAAAATTCCACCTTCTGCAAGAAGTCTTTCCTGATTCCCTTAATGCTAGTGGCTTCCCTCTGTGATTATTTCCAATTTTTCCTGTTGTTTAGACATAGTAGTTTTTATGTTGTCCTCTTCACCGGACTGTGAGCCCCTTTAGGGCAAGAAATGTTTTTGCTTTTTTTCATATCCTCAGTACTTAGTATAGTGATTGACATGTAGTAGACCCTTAATAAATGCTGGTTGACTTGCTTTTAACAAGCTTCCACATTATTAATGTAGAAGTAATTTGTGAATCAGTTGTCTGTGTACAGGTAGACCATCAACTTGTTAGAGCAAATTAGTACAGCACTTTTTGTTGTTTAGTTATTTTCAGTCACGTCTAACTCTTTGTGACTCTATTTGGGGTTTTCTTGGCAGAGATACTGCAATGGTTTGCCATTTCTTTTTCCAGTTCATTTTATAGATGAGAAAACTGAGGCAAACCGAGTTAAGTGACTTGGCCAAGGTCACACAGCTAGTAAGTGTCTGCGGCCAGATTTGAAGATAAGTCTTCTTGATTCTAAACCCAGTGACCTATCCACTGTGCCACCTAGCTGCCCTAATACAGGACTGGGGGAATAAAAATGAGGAAAAAATCCTATGATCCTTTTAAGATCTGGAAGATAACTCAGACCATCTAGTTTAACACACTCTTTTACAAATAAGAAAAACATAGGGTATAGAATTGCAGCAACTCATCTTAAATTATTCAGATTTGTTATTGATGGGTAATTATTGAAGAAAGGACACATCCATAGAATATGATAATTCCGTGCAGAAATTTAACTAAATCAGTTGCAATAGTAAGAGGACCAAAAAAGTCTAAATATGACCTTTTAATCACTTGTTAATTTGATCCACTTGTTAAGTAGTGGGTATAAAGGGAAGAGAATAAGCATTTATTAACTGCCTACTATGTGCCAGGCATAGTACTAAATGCTTTAAAGATATCATCTCATTTGATTCTCACAAACACTCTGTGGGTTAAGTGCTATTATAATCCTTATTTTACAGTTGAGGAAACTGAGGTACAAATATGCCTAAAAGTAATACTAGTTTAGAATTAAAGCTTCATCAAATTTTAAAGAAAATGATGATGCAAGATTATGAGCAATATTACCTCATAAAGCATAAAGAAACAGTAGAGGGTAAAGCCAGCTTAAAGAAATTGTATTGAGATACTCACCTAATAGATACTATCCTGAGGTCATTAAAGGATGAAAAAAAAAATTGGAGGACAGCAAACAGAAGAAAATGGAAAGGATTTTCTTGAATTTTTTTTTTTTAAATAACAGACATTTTACATTAGACATTAAAGAAAAAACACTTGGACTTTAACATAGCACTTCTGAATATGTTTATAAAGGAGATAGAAATAGTACTGAGAACAATGAGGATGAGGAAAGCAGCTAGAATAGATGGCAAGTGCATAAAGGAGATACATGCTCTAAGTGGCAAAAATGTCATTAGTAGTATATATTTGCGAAATGTCTGAATGAGGACAAGATACCAGAGGCATGGAGGTGGTGGTGGTGGTAATCTTAAATGCAGTTAATTCTGAAAAAAAATGATTGAGAGATCATCCACTACAAACCTATATGCCTACATTTCTCCATCAATGTAATTTTTATGACAATAATCCATGTATCCATTGTGCTATAAGAAATGATGAGTAAGCGGACTTCAGAAAAATCTGGAAATGGACTGCTACTGAGTGAAGTAAGCAGAACCAGGAGATCCTTGTATACAGTTATAGCCACGTTGTATGATGACTAACTTTGATAGACTTAGTCCTTCTCAGCAATGCAACAGATCCTCTTTTTTTTTTCTTGTTTTGTTTTGTTTCCTCTTTCTTGTGGTTCCTCCTATTGGTTCTAATCCTTCCTTACAACATGACTAATGTGAAAATATGTTTAATATCCTATATCAGACTGCACACTGTCTTGAGGAGAGGGTAGGAGACAGGGAGAGAAAAATTTTAAACTCAAAAGCTTATGGAAGTGATTGTTGAAAACTAAAAATAAATTAGTAATTAAAAAAACTAATAGCATATGATAGTGAATTGCTGAAACCTGGAGTTTGCTGTACTATGCCAGAGCTTATGCTAGTTATATGATTGGTAGAGAGAACATTGATTTTATAGTGAGAGTTCTTCATTTGAATTCTTACTTTTCTACTTGGCACCTTGGATTTTACCTCTTTGTGCCCCAATTTTTTCATTGAGAAAATGAAGTTGTTGGTTTATTTGATCACAAAATTTATTAAGTTTTAGAATTAGAAGTGATATCAGCAACCATTTAGTCCAATTTATCTTTGAAAAGAAATCTTCACAATAGCATATCCAATAAGTGGTCATACCAGCTTCTGCTTAAAAACCTTCAATGAAGGGGAACTCACTCACCCACCACCACACAGCTCTTGGAGCAGCTTATTCCACTTTGGGTCAGTTCTAATCAGTAGGAAGATTTTCCTGATATCAAGTGAAATTTGTCTTTTCTACAACTTGCACCCATTGTTCTAAGTTATGCTCTTGGAGGGCAAAAGAGAATGAGTGTAATCCCTTTTACACATGAATGATCCTAAATTAGTTTCAGGTAGCTGTTGTATTTCCCTGAATCTTCTCTAGCCTGAACATCCTTACTTCATTTAACCATTTCTCATATAGAATAAGGACCTTCACCATTACTGGCTGATCTTTTTTGGATGTTCTTCCATTTATCAATATCCTTTTTAGACCAGGACAGAGTACAGAAATGCGCACGGTCCCTTTCAACTTGCAATACCATGTTTAGTTTGAAGCCTTCAATCCAGCACCTTAAACTTTCATAGTCCCCTAAAGGACTGCATTTTCTTCTTAAGCTGGAATATGGTCTGTAGGGTCTTGGAATTAAATCAGAGCTCCAAGATCTCTCTAAGTAATTTCAATTCCCATGCACATACAAAACCAAAATAATCTTTTAGAAACCCTCAAGATAAGAGGTTAAACTGGAACTCCAAGGGATAGGATTTGTAATGATGGGACCAAACCAAGACCTGACTGAGATGTCACTTTTAGAGACAACTCTGGAACTTTTAGAAATAGCGCATTATATGAGACATGCTAAATAATTATTTAATTTTTTTGGGAAATTTATTGGAATGAAAATTGCTTGGTCATTTTTATATAGCTGAGAGGTCATTCAACTATATCTGCAGTGAGATTTGTCATTTCCTTTAGACTTGATTATACCAGTGAAAAACTTGGTAAGATTTCACTGAAAAAACAAATTATGAAATTATGATATATTAAGCACATCATAGATGTCTTTATCACCAGATAGATAAATGGAGAAGCAATATGGGATAGTAGATAGTGGGGTGGCTGAGGGTCAAGTTCTATCACTAACATTTATCAACTATGTGGAAATAGGCTAGTGACTCAATTTTTCAGTGCCTCAGGAAACTCACTAAGATTATAAATTATAGACAAGCTGCTGAGCTGAATTAGAGGAGAGAGTTTCCATACTGAAAGTTTTTTTTATAGCAATGGACTTCCAGGTCTGTACTAAAAAATAAACAATAAAAAGATGAATTTTGCTTTTGTTTTGGGTTCACAGATGATTTAGCTCACCATATTTAAAAGGCTTTGTATATACTAAGTATGTAGTAAAAGTGCTTTGTACATAGTAGACCTTTAGTCAGTGTTTATTGAATTTGAAAAGGAGGAGAACTAATGGCAAGTAGCTACTTTCCTAGAAATTAGCTTTTTGTCTTGTAACATTAAACCCAATTTAGAACAATGGAGATGTTAGGATTGCTTTTGGGTTTACATACATTTAGAGCTAAAGAAAAATTCATAAATTATGTTAACTACCTAGAAATATTTGAACAGTGAAGGAAATCCAATTGATTTTGTTGGACTATTCCATAATCTATGTCAAACAACTAAAAAAAGATGAGTATGCATTTCACATATCTAGAAGAGTAACTTATAGATATCTTACCTGGATTCACCTGCACCAAAATTTGATGCAAAAATCAATCAATAATCAACAAATATTTATTAAATTCCTACTTTTTTCCAGTCACTGAAGTACAAATACAAAGAATGAAACAATCCTTACTAGCAGTGACATAGCTAAACTAACTACTTAGTTAATAGTTAGTTCTTCTCCTTCCCTCACTACCACATATCCAAACAGTTGCCAAGTCTCGGAGTTCTACACCCACAACATCTCTGGTGTCTGTCCCCTTCTTTTCACTGTCATGCCATCAACCCGTTTCAGGCCCTTATCATCTTCTACCTAGACTATTACAGTACCCTCTTAATTGGTCTTGCTGTGAGTCTTTTCAGTCTCCAATTCATCTTCCATACAGCTTCCAAAATTATATTCCTAAAGCACATATCTGATTGTCACTCAAAAATCCTTATTACCTTTAGGATAAAATACAAATACTTTGGTTTGGCATGTAAAATCCTGTACAATTTGCTTCCAGTTTGTGTTTCAGATAGAGAGATAGACAGGCAGACTGATAGAGGATAGATGATAGGTAGATAGGATAAATGATAGGTAGACAAAAGATGGATAGATAGATAGAACATTATTAAGTGTAAGGCACATACTAAATGCTGAGGACATAAATACAACTAAACAAGAGAATCCCTGCCTCCAAGGAGCTTACATTCTAATAGGGGAAGTAAACAAATAATGTGCTAGAAAAGAAATGGGAGATGTATATGTAGAGCAGGCTTAGTGAGGAGACTGAAGAAATGTCAATGTCATTTCTAGTGAGATAAAGCAAAAAGCTCAAGTATTAGAACTAGTTCAGCCACGGTCTTATGCCTCTATACCTTTCAACTATCTCCTATGCCTGGAATGCATTCCCTTTTCACTTCTACCTCTTGGAATTTTGAATTTCTTTCAATGCTCAGTTCAGATTTCACAACCTATGAGAAAGCTTTCCTGATCCTTTTAGCTTTTTAGTACCTTCTCTTTCTTTGCATTTATTTGTACTTATTTATCTATGTACATCCAGTCATAGAATCATATATCTAGAGCTATAAGGGACCTTAGAGGTCCTGCAGTACAACCCACTCCTATTTTACAGATGAAGAAACTGAGACTCAAAGAGTTAGAATGACTTTGCCCAGGTGGCAAGGGAAGTAATATGCAGAGTTTGGATTCCAGCTTCCATTGCAAGACTCAAAGCTCTTTACTACAAGTTTAGCCCTCTTTCCACTGTCCCACACAGCAGGATTATTTTTCCATATGAATGTCTTTTACTGTAGGGTCTCTTTATTTCGCCTTGTATCATTAGGATCTACCACAATGCCTTTTATATAGTAGCTGCTTAGTAAATTTTTGTTGAATTGAATTAGATTTATTTTTTAAAAAATCTATTTTTAAACATAAAAATAGAGCTTGGAGTATTTGAAGATGTTGAATTGATCTGTAATAGATAAATCGATAGATCAATCAAGAAATGATTTCGCTGGTCCTGATAGCCAGACTTGTATAAATTCCTATCCAGAGTAGCACTTCATCTTAAATCTTCTTTGCCTTCTGAACCCAACACCTATATATCTTATTTTCCATATTCCATAGCTAAAACATATGTGATTGTTGATGACTTTTGACTTAGGTACTTAGAGATACAAAACAGGTAAGGAATTAATAGATTAAGTACATAAAATAAAAGTTCTTAGTAACTAGAAAATACTTCATTACATCAATGGAGCTCTGATTTTATGAATTCAATTTAATAGGTCAATTCAATTAAATAAGTGTGGATGTTGGTATTCTCTTGACCAGTAGAGATAACAGCTGTCCTCCTGTGTAGTTCTTGTCTGGGTCTATTAATGAAGGATCTATCTATATGCATACAGGCTTCCTCTGGATCTTTTAATATTTGGGCTTTCTATTTCTCCCTATCTCTTCTGGCCTTTTGTAACTCTCATCAGCTAATGAATCCTTTCTTTTTGGGCAGAAAACTGACCAATGAATGGGTGCAATTTCCAGTTCTTTGTATGTTTTAAGGATATGTGTTTGTTGCTTATTGCAGGGGACTTGTTTTTTGGCCCTCTACCTAAGACGTTTCTTTTTGGTGGAGTGGGGGGACTGAAGCTTTGGGACTGAAGTCATTCTGGTAGCCTAAGTGCTGTAGAAAAGCTGGTCTAGTGAGTAGCTAAGGTTTTACCATGCTAGTTTTATTCCCATATTTGTGATGCAATGGAAAAGAAGGATGAATTTGGATTAAGGAGAACTGGGCTCAAATCGTGGCTTTGCCATTTCTACCTGTCTGAGCTTAGACAATTCACGTAACTCTTTGGGTCTCAGCTTCCCTGAAGAGGGTTAGACTAGATTTCCTTCTAGTTCTAAGCCTACTGACTTGTAACTCTCAATTTCTCTCTCTCTCTCTCTCTCTCTCTCTGTCTGTCTCTGTCTCTCTCTTTCTCTGTCTCTCTCTCTCTCTGTCTCTCTCTTCAAATATACTGATTCTATCATTTTTTTTTGCCCCAGAGCTGTGATTTCATTGATCTAGGGAGTTAATAGTGAGGGAATTCCTCTACCAATGAAGAATGGAACTTTCTCTGTGATTTATAGACTTACAGATTTATCTAAAACACTGAGAGATTTAGTTACTTGTCCAAGGTCACAGAACCAGCATGGATCAGAGGTGAGTCTTAAACCCAGTTCTTTCTGCCTCTAAGGACAGTTCCTCATTCATTACTGCACAGTTTCTGCTGGTCCTACTGGAATGAAACTTTTATAGGGCAGAGACTACATTTTGGATACATTCAATGCTCAAAGGTGTTGATTAGCTTCTTGGGCCAGGTTTATAGAACATAATGGCAGGGAGATGTTTGGAACTTATTTGTACACTGCAATGAAAACAGTTAAGCTAAATAATTAGGAATTTTAAAGAGACCTCTGGAAGAGGCACATAATCAATTTAATTTTAAATAATAATCCTATTATGTAAGTAGATATATCTTTCTAAACCACCTATTTTTATTTTGTATAGGCTCAAAACACTTTTTTCAAGATGTGATGGAAAAACTTACATTAGTATTAGCAAGTCTGTTTGGAAGAATATATGTTCCAACAAATCTCCTAGGTGGCAATTTAAAGTTTTATCAATCCAAGGTATGGCTAAAAGAAGATTTTGACATTATAAGGATTTAATCCTAAATGGGATTAAATAAGCCATGTGGAAAAAAATCTTACTACTATAGAATTTATATAAATCAGGGATATTTTGTTTGTTTGCCGTGATGTTAAGTGATGTTAACAATAGAGTTGGAGAGGCAATATAAGTGAGGTCTGCCTGGCCAGGATCAGAAGGCCTGCATGCTAATTCACTGCTGCCACCTTCTGGCCATTGAACCTTGGGCAACTCTTTGTGAACATCTACCTTCGTTGCTAAGGGCAGAATCATTCTGTCTGGGTTGCTTAGTTCATGAGGTAGTCATGAGAATTAGACAAAATATTGTTTGTGGTATTTTAAGACGGTATTTAGTATTTTTGTAAGTAAATCTCCACTCATTCCTTAGTTCAAAAAGACATCTATATTTTACTCATTTGTACGGCAATAAAACTGACAATCTAAACAAAATAGATGACTATTTACAAAAATATATATTGTACAGATGAACATATAAGAAATAGAATAGTTAAATGATGTTATCTTAGGATAAGAAATTGAATAAGCCATAAATTAACTCCCCAAAACAACCAAAAAATCCCTATGATCTAGATGTATTGACAAGCAAATTTTATTAAATATTTAAGGAAAAAATAATTCCAATACTGCATAAGTTGTTTGAAGAAATAAGAAAAGGAGTCCTCCCAAGTTGCTTCTGTGACACAAAAATGGTCTTGACACCTAAGTCAGGGAGAGTCAAAACAGAAAAAAAAACAATAAATGAATATTCCTAATCAATATTGATGCAAAAATTTTAAATAAAATGTTAGCAAGGAGACTACAGTAATGTATCAAAAAAATTATATAGTATGACCAAGTTGGATGTATGCCAAGAATTCAGGGCTTGTTCTGACAATATTACCCAAATTAATTTGCTTTTTCAGTGCCAGAACAGACAAACTAATAAAAGGTTACTTTTTTTTTTAAAAAAAATATTTTTAGTTTTCAATATTCATTTTTATAAGATTTTGAATTTCAAATTTTCCCCTTCCCCTCCCTCCTCCCTCCCCAAAAGGGCATGCAATCTGATATAGAATATACATGTACAATC